ATTACAATTCCGACTTTACTGTTTTTGGACCACCCTAATGTACAGCCTTCGGGAAAAGGCAAATCCTTGAGAGAATCTACGGATTGCAATTTGGAATTTTTTTGCCCTAGGTGAATAGAGCATACATTCATGTACATTCTTTTAACAAATTAGTTTCAGAAACATTCGTATTCTTTTCAAAGTTACCAGGGGTTTTTGGTAAATGTGTCACAAAGCAGCATTAGCATTCTGAATATTAGAGCGGGTCGATTTGTAGGGACCAGAAAAACGGAAAAATCGCATATGCGGAATATGCTCTACGGATCATTCTGAGCAACTTTGCTTAAGAAACTATGGGTCTAAATCCAGTTTCGAGCCAGCGAATTTTAAGGGGAAGTTTCATATCAGGTAATACAAAATTTTTTTGGGAAAAACTTAAACAAATAGCTAATCTATTAGTGTAAGTGTACAAAAATCAGGTTATATTTTTTTTAAATACATAAATAATCAGAATTAAAAAACAAATCGATTAGGCGGTGACTGTCTGTCCGTCTGTGCACACAATAACTCGATTAAAAATTGAGATATTTTAACGAAACTTGGTATGTGTACTTCTTTTTAGCGTAGGACGGATGTTATTGCAAATAGGCAAAATCGGAAATAGGCCTACCTCCCATATAACGGCAGTTTTCAGAAATACTAAAACTGCGATATTTTAGTAACTACTGAAGCTTATTAACTCAATATTAATATTTACAATGATTTTTAGACGATAAATAAGAATATTATAAATGTTATGTTTTTCTTATAACAAAATGTTTATTCAAAAAAGAAAGATAAGTAATTACAGAAAACTTATGATTAATTTGTGTCTTAGCTGAAACCGGCACGGGTTAACAGTCTCGTCGCTCCTCAGCTCTCAGCTCCTTTCGCCATATCGATTATCGATATTTCGTTCTAAAAAGGGTTAGTACTACGTTTAAGTGAAGTATGCGGTTGTAATATATTTCGAGTTCAAGTATTCGGTTATAGGCTATGTAGTCCGTATAACACCTTCCCTTTTGATTAAGATCCCCTAGGCTGGCAGGTATTTTTCTACAGGCTTACGATTGCGGTTTGAGCGGCGAGGAAGCATTGGTGTCTCCAACTGATCAGTTCCGATGTCACTTCTATCTGCACTTGGATTTTCACCTGTATCCACGTTTGGATTGTCGGTGACACGCGAGCCTGTGGCATTTGACGACTCAAAAATTTCTAGTGCTGAAGCCTACGGCTTCTGGTAACCCTTTGCTGTGGTGGTGCGTCGTCGAAGTTGATTAACATGTGCTCTAATAATTCTGCCATTTGAAAGTCTCACATTGTACATGACACAACCTCTCTTCTCGATGATTTGCCCTGGAGACCATTTGAAGTGATTGACACTATCTGAAGTTCTGACATATACATTGTCCAAATTTTGAAATCCTCTGGGAACCACTCCGTGCTTTATATCGAATTGCTGCTTCATCCTTGCTGTGGCTACTGATATTTGTGTCTCGCTATTCGTCAACGGTTTTAGCTGATCTAATGTTGTTCGCATGATAAAAACATAGCAAGGTAGAACCGTTCTCTCAATTTGTCGGCCATGATTTTTTTTTGAAGTTTGCCAACATTTTAAAATCATATAAAAGTGAAAATGAAAAATTGAAATTGTTGTTGCTTGAGATTGGGAATGAAAATGTGTGTGTGAGTTTGTGAGTAAATTTAAAAATTAAATTGTTTGGAAACGTCAAGAATTTTAAAAGTGACTCTCAGCGGTTATACCTTACTATATTTTTATCATGGTTGTACGCATTGGCCTTCCAAACATTATCTCTGCTGGAGATTTGTGATCGGGTGTATTTGGATTTGCTGTTGAACGATATAATTGTAGAAATGTGTGCATATTTTCTATAACCGTTCCTTCTTCTTCCGTCTTTTTGAGAGCTCTTTTGAAAGTGTCCACAAATCTTTCAGCCTGGCCATTTGACATTGGATGATATGGGCTCGTGCATTTATGCTCAATGCAGTTTTTACGCATAAAGTATTCAAAAAGTGAGCTTTTGAACTGACTACCGTTGTCCGACACAACCGTTGTAGGTAGACCAAAACGAGAAAGTATTTCGCTCAATATTTTCACTGTTTTTTTGCGAAGAAATTGATTTCGTTTCAATGATTTCCGGCCACTTAGAAAATGCGTCAATTACTAGTAAAAAGTAATAACCCATGATTGGGCCGGCATAATCTATATGAACTCGATCCCAAACTTTTGCTGGAGTAAGCCACGGTTGAAGAGGTGCTTTTACAGGCATTTTTGCAGCGACTGCACAGTGGTCGCAACTGTTTACCATATTCTTTATATCGCTGTCGATACTTGGCCAATAGACGTGGCTTCGTGCGATAGCTTTCGTTCTCTCAATGCCTGGGTGACCACGATGAAGCTGCTTTAGTACACGCCCACGGAAAATTCGCGGAATGACAAGTCTATCGCCGTACATAATGCATTCATCAACATGCATTAAATTGTCTTTCCTGTGAAATAACATTTTAAGCTCATCATTATCGCAAATTTTTGGAGGCCATCCATCTTTAATATACTTCAACACGATGGACAAAAGCTTATCTTTAGATGTCTCGTGCTGTATCATTTTGACTGTTACTGGCAGTGATTTTATGGTGTCTCTGACGGCAGTATTGGCTTCATTTTCCATTTTTATTGACGCAATGACGAAATCTTTCGAAATCAGCTGTTAGCATAGGAATGTGTGAAATCGAAACAAAACAAAGAAATATTTGCCACCAAACAATAGCAGCATATGAAGTTAAAGTTTGTAAATATTTTAAAATAACTAAATATACCTAGCATCACTTTAATTTAAAAATAAAAATTAAGTGGATACATAATTATAAGAATGAAATGCATAGCCGCGGCATTATTGCTTGAAGAGAAGAAAGAGTCCCAGATTGCTGATGCGTAAGTTGAAAGGCGGAGATTTAGGGACATNTAAGCTGCTAGCATCACAAATAAAAATTAAGTGGATACATAATTATAAGAATGAAATGCATAGCCGCGGCATTATTGCTTGAAGAGAAGAAAGAGTCCCAGATTGCTGATGCGTAAGTTGAAAGGCGGAGATTTAGGGACATGTTTGATCTTTTTCAGATGAGTGAAGAGTCATAAGGAATTCATCTTGAACTGTATTACTCATCGCTTAAAGTTAGTGAAATTATAAACGTTGTTTGAGCACTCCACAACATTTGCATTTACTACAGAGTGGAAGATTTGAACGCAAATGAATCCGTCAGGAGGAAGGGAAGAACAAAGCTTATCTTTCTATAGCAAATCGAATTCGAGACAACATACGCACCTCTTTTTAAAAAGTTAGTAAAAACGAGTGTAATAATAAAAGCATCTTTTTTATGTAACTTCACATTTTATGTATGTATGTATCTATGTGCACACATCTATTAATTTTATATAAAAAGAATCAATTGCATTCAGTGCATTTCACAGTCTTATTTATATATAATGCAAACAAAAACGCCTGGACTTCCACGTTGAAAACGTCGCGCAACATCCCTTTTGGTTGCCATTATTTGAGCCAATTTTTCGTATTGCCCGTATTACCGCTCGCGGAAACACAGAAATCGAGAAAATTCATTTATGATGACTTACAATCATGCACAGTATATTTTACTTAATTTTTTTATAAAATTTTATTATTTAAACCCACGAAAATAACAATTGAAACGTTCTCCGCCAACAAATTTGCAACTTAGAAAAACGGAAATACGATCGAAATGTAGAATAGGTATAATCGTAAATTTCGAAGATTGATCGAAAGGAAACGGAACGCAGAATACCAAAGTTACCAAACGGAGAAAATTGCGATTCGAGTCGAAATGCAGAATAGGGCTGATTAAGCGTGACAATACATCTGCGTATCCAAAACTATTCGTGTTAACGAAATTAATTTCAAAATCGTAAGCAAGAAGTTGGAGTGCCCATCTCTGCAGTCCATTCGCTTGGTGTACTGCTAATAAAGGTTTGTGGTCAGTGTGAAGCTTGAATCGCCGTCCGTATATCATTTTGTCAAACTTGGTAGTCGCGAATACGAGAGCTAAAACTTCTTTTTCAACTTGACTATACCTTTGCTCTGCGGGTGTCAATGATCGCGCAGCGTGGCAAACGGCTTTTACGGTGCCATCAGGGTATTCGTGTAAAATACATGCGCCGAGACCGTATCCGGATGCATCAGCCGCTACTATGATTTGAAGCTGTGGATCCTAATGTGCTAAGGTAAGGTCTGATGAAAGAATGTCCTTTAAATTTTGAAACGATCGCTGGTGCTTCGCTGTCCATGTCCATGAAACGTTGGATTTTAAAAGATCATCTAACGGACCTCTATGTTGTCGCATGTTACTAAAAAACTTGCCGTACAAGTTAATTGCGCCGAGAAACGAACGCAGTTCAGTAACATTCGTTGGCTACGGCATATTGGTGATGGCTTGTATACGTTCAGGATTTGGCTTAAGGCCATAGCCAAGGTAGCTTACGGATGTTTTGTAAACTTCGCACTTCTCATATTTCAACTTGAATCCGTATTCTTTTATTCTTTTTAGTACCGTGTGAAGATTTCTAGTATGCTCAATTTCATTATTGCCGGATACAAAAATGTCGTCAATATAAGCTACTACCCCTGGTATGTCTGAAAGCATCTGGTCCATGATCTGCTGGAATATGGCCGGAAATGTTTTAACGCCAAATACCATTCGGTTGTACCGGAACAATCCGATATGCGTGTTCATTGTAAGTAGGTGCTTTGAAGCGTCATCTACTTCGATTTGTAAAATGCGTCCGATAAATCAGCTGAAGTATTTTGAATTTGCCAATTTCGAAAATATGTCTTCAGGTAAAGGCAATGGATATTGATGTGATTCGAGGCGCTCGTTCAGTCCAGTTGAAAAATCTGCACACACTCGTATACCGCCTGTTGCTTTTTTTATGACAACAATGGGTCTGCCCAATCCGAGTAAGTAAGAGGTGATATGATCTCGCAGTCCTGTAGACGTTGTAATTCCGTTTCAACGAGCTGTTGCATGGCGTAAGCAACTGACCGTTTTGGCCTGAAAACTGGCTGAACATTGGGCTTCGTCTGCAATACGGCCTTTGTCTTGTTGCAGAGTCCCATCTTGCTATCGAACACATCTGAAAAAGATAATTTCAATTGAGCACTGCGAGGTTTAATTGCGGATTTATCAACACTCCCCTGAAAATTGTGCACTTGATTGCAGACTGAATTTATTGGCTGATCTTTTAAATTAAAAGCATCTATCCAATCAAGTCCCATAACGTTGAGATCGTATATGGATGACACGCGACAAGTAAGCGATTTTTCTTCTCCTTGAAAGCTAACTGAGCATGTGAATTGAGAAGTGAGGGGTAGCTCGCCTGTTGCACTACGTGCTGATCGGTCGACTGCCTCGGTTTCCTTAATGTTTAAAGTGTCGAACGTATGCTCTGATATAATTGTAATATCAGACCCCGTGTCGAACTGAAGTCGAATGTGTACGCCATTGATAAGAACATTGATATATTTGCGATGGCATTTTACTTGGTTTGTCACAAAAATTCCGTTTGACTGTACGAGTTGTTTGTGCTGTTGTTTACGTTTTTTCTGCGTGGCGCTTGTGTTGTTTTGTTGTTGTGTCCCATTTGTCGTATATGTTTTGTTGTTAGTATTGCGTGTGCCATAGTCCTATTTGTGCCCGGTTTTTGAACAATCGCCACATTTATGGCTTTTGTAGGGACAGAAACGTGCATAGTGAAGATCGCCGCAATACCAGCATGGAGTTTTTGGTACTTTCCTCTCCTTTTTCTGCTTTGTGTTTGCTTTGACCTTGTTGACGCTCTGTTGACTTTCGATGAGTGCAGTATCAGCTTTGAGGTTCAGCATTTGTTGGCATTACCTTGACAATGAGTCCAGTGTGATAGTTGTATTTTCGCCGTCTAATTTGTTGAGCATCTTTGTGCGAATTTCAAAATCCGATAGGGATTTGAGACCCATAACAAAAATTAAGCACTTGAATTGATCAATTGTTAGATTGTTTAAATCAAGAAGCTCACATTGTTTATTTATAACTATTTATTTATATCTACATTCGGATCTTTGTTGATCTGCAAGCCATTGTATCGAATGTTGANGCCTGCGTATGTAATGAAATCTACATTCGGATCTTTGTTGATCTGCAAGCCATTGTATCGAATGTTGAATTGTGATGCCTGCATCCCAAAAAGTTGCTTAAGCAGTGACACTGTTTCGGCCAAAGTTTTGTCCCGTGGATGTTTGGGAAGTATGTAATTGACGTATTTGTGATGCACTACGGTGTTAATTTTCCTAAGAAGTAGCCTCGTCTGCAGCATCGTCCAATTTACTTGCATCATGCTCAAATAGGTCTTCATAGCAGGCAAACCATGTGTCGAATGTGAGGTTATGGTCGACATCGTAACAAAACTCTGTGATGTTCGATCCCAAGGCCTCGATGATATATTCCGGGTTTCCTTCAAACTTCACATCGTTTTTGGAATCATTTGAGGGAATTATTTCCGACAGAATGTTCTGCATTGCCACACTATCGCTGTGCTGCTGTTCTTGCATTTTAATTAGCAATTTCGCTAATGTTTCTTCCACAGTTGCCATGACCTTTGTATTTGATGCTATGGTACAGTTTTTTTCGTCGCCACTTTCTGTTATGTTTTTCTTATAACAAAATATTTATTCAAAAAAGAAGGATAAGTAATTACAGAAAACTTATGATTAACTTGTGTCTTAGCTGAAACCGGCACGGGTGAACAGTCTCGTCGCTCCTCAGCTCTCAGCTCCTTTCGCCATATCGATTATCGATATTTCGTTCTAAAAAGGGTTAGTACTACGTTTAAGTGAAGTATGCGGTTATAATATATTTCGAGTTCAAGTATTCGGTTATAGGCTATGTAGTCGGTATAACAATAAACTTTTGGAATACTGGCGTAGCCACGATTACATGTGTATATCTTGGTTACCGCTTCACCAATTTCTCCAAAACTTAGCATGGTTGTTGGCCTTCGTACAACATATCAAACGGCTGAAAATTTTTAAAATCGGACACTAACCACGCCTACATACAACAGTAATTTAGAGAAGATCGAAATCTTCGATAAATCAGTAAATACTGAAGCTAATGTATTCAAAATTGATGTTTGCAATAACTCTTTAGCAAAAAATAAATTTGCGATACAATTTTGGAAAATGGGCGTGGCACCGGCCACTTATCGAACTNCTGTTGGCCTTCGTACAACATATCAAACGGCTGAAAATTTTTAAAATCGGACACTAACCACGCCTACATACAACAGTGATTTAGAGAAGATCGAAATCTTCGATAAATCAGTAAATACTGAAGCTAATGTATTCAAAATTGATGTTTGCAATAACTCTAGCAAAAAATAAATTTGCGATACAATTTTGGAAAATGGGCGTGGCACCGGCCACTTATCGAACTAAAATTACGCCCACTTTTTATATAACGGTAAATTTCAGAATTGCTTTAAGCCCCGATATTTCGAAATTTAAGGACGTTAGTTTACTCTTACTTGAAAGTTTATATTCACAACAATCGCAGAAAATATCACAGACAAATTTTGACTTTTCCGATACCTGAGTAAAACACATCGTTTCTTGTAGATTTGGTGGTGCTAAATCAAAATCTGGCCGCTCTAGCACGTCAGAGATATCCTAACCTCAGAGTGCCGAAAACACGGTTTTGGCGATATTTGAGTTAATATTATGAGAANGGCCACTTATCGAACTAAAATTACGCCCACTTTTTATATAACGGTAAATTTCAGAATTGCTTTAAGCCCCGATATTTCGAAATTTAAGGACGTTAGTTTACTCTTACTTGAAAGTTTATATTCACAACAATCGCAGAAAATATCACAGACAAATTTTGACTTTTCCGATACCTGAGTAAAACACATCGTTTCTTGTAGATTTGGTGGTGCTAAATCAAAATCTGGCCGCTCTAGCACGTCAGAGATATCCTAACCTCAGAGTGCCGAAAACACGGTTTTGGCGATATTTGAGTTAATATTATGAGAACAAGTTTTTTTATTTCTACTTAGCGCATCATTTAGTACTACTCTTCCCCTTTAAAATTCATTTTTAACCGACTTCCAAAATAGGAGGAGGTTATCAGTTCGTCGGAATATTTTTTTGNATGTTACCTGAGTAAAACACATCGTTTCTTGTAGATTTGGTGGTGCTAAATCAAAATCTGGCCGCTCTAGCACGTCAGAGATATCCTAACCTCAGAGTGCCGAAAACACGGTTTTGGCGATATTTGAGTTAATATTATGAGAACAAGTTTTTTTATTTCTACTTAGCGCATCATTTAGTACTACTCTTCCCCTTTAAAATTCATTTTTAACCGACTTCCAAAATAGGAGGAGGTTATCAGTTCGTCGGAATATTTTTTTGTTTTTTTTGTATTTATGTTACCGCATAACTTTGGACCACGTCAACCGATTTCGATAATTCTTTTTGCATCGGAAAGGTAGTGTCTCAGAGGTGGTCCCATATTAATCTGGTTAAGATCCGATCAGTGGACCATGAGATATATATATATATNAACCGACTTCCAAAAAAGGAGGAGGTTATCAGTTCGTCGGAATATTTTTTTGTTTTTTTTTGTATTTATGTTACCGCATAACACTTTGGACCACGTCAACCGATTTCGATAATTCTTTTTGCATCGGAAAGGTAGTGTCTCAGAGGTGGTCCCATATTAATCTGGTTAAGATCCGATCAGTGGACCATGAGATATATATATATATTTTTTTTTTTATATGAGAGTTGAAGTCGGTTTTTTTTTGCTAAAAATTACTTGTCGTTTGTTGTGATTCGATTTTTCTTTCTCGAGATATACCAGTTTTAATGTGTCGTACTTCGGTATGACATTGTAAGCATGAGTCATCATAGCTTATACCGAAGTACTGCACATTAAAACTGGTATACGAAATTGAATTTTAAAGGAGAAGAGTAGTACCAAATTGTGCCCTAAGTAGAAATGTGTGTTTTTATAATATAACCTCAAATATCGTGAAAACCGTCTTTTTGACACTTTGAGGTTAGGATATCTCAAAATTCTGACGTGGTAGAGCAATTCTGAAATTTGGATTCAGCACCAAAAACTCTACAAGAAACGGTGTGTTTCACTCAGGTGGTAGTGTTGTTCAACTGTAGCATTATTATGGAATTTTAGAAAATGGGCGTTATACCGCCAACTAATTATGTCTAAATGAACGTTAGATCGAAGATGTTTGAAATGAGGATAAAACCACCCCTGCTTACCATATAGCGTTAGTTTTCGGAAAGGCAAAAAAAATATATATTAGTACTTGCGCAGGGTATTTAATGTTTGGCTCCGCTCGGACTGGGACCTTTTTACTTCTTTTCGACTAACATGGGTCACAGCCATAACACTTTCACAAGCCGAGAAACACTGGTTAGCAGTTGAATGTATCCTGTTTGTGCCGCGCGACAAAAAATTATAAGATTAATTTATTTCTTTTATTTAAAATATTGGACGTTTGAGTTAGATTTTTCAAAGACATCAACGTCAATAATTTATAAATAACTCTGAAGAACTTTGTTTGATTTACNTAATTTTTTTGTTCGTTACAAGCCGAGAAACACTGGTTTGCAGTTGAATGTATCCTGTTTGTGCCGCGCGACAAAAAATTATAAGATTAATTTATTTCTTTTATTTAAAATATTGGACGTTTGAGTTAGATTTTTCAAAGACATCAACGTCAATAATTTATAAATAACTCTGAAGAACTTTGTTTGATTTACTTAAATATTATAATATATGCAAACGAAAAACAATTTATTTATTTATTTATTTATTTAAAAATAATCTAGAAAATGTACATTTTCTTGCAGACTATACAGAGACTAATTCAGTTTAAGTTTATTTAACAATTTCATTTAATATTGATCTAAACCTAGGTTTTGACAAAGAGAAATCGATATCTGATGAATACGAGAGAAAATTAAATTGTTTTAATGCTCTATAAATAGGTGCGTTAGAAGCGTAAAGTGTTCTAACGCGATTTAGAAAAAAATTCATGATTACGCAGGTCTCTTGTGGGGATATTAAAGTAGATGCATTGAAGTAGGAATGGAGAATCAATCGCCCCATGAATAATGTCATATACAAAAGTAAGCGAAAGAATGGATCTTCGGCTCTTGAGTGATTTAAGATCGATTAACTGACATATGGCAGTGTATGAATGAATCGGATCAACAAACTGAAGTGAACGGAGTGCGAAACGTATGAATTTTCATTGTATTCGCTCAATCCTTTCAATATGGGAATTGTGGTATGGCCTCCAGATAAAGACAGCATATTCTACTTTAGGGCGGACGAGAGAAGTAAAGAGTAATTTCAGAGTGTACGGGTTAGTAAACTCAGAGCTAAAAAGGCGAATAAAAGCTAGTATAGAATAGGACTTTGCTATAGTATAGTTTAAATGACTATTAAAAATAAATTTGGAGTCGAAAACCACTCCAAGATCAGACATTTCATTACGAGTGATTAGACATGAGCCAAAGATATAATAAGAAGTGGGGATCGGGGAACGAGACTTAGAAAATGCTATATGAAAACACTTATTTATGTTTAACTGCAGTTGATTTGTACGACACCAGACAGCAACATTATTTAGATCGGACTGAAGTCTGACAGAATCGAGCTGATTTGTAACCGTAGTGAAAATTTTTAAGTCATCGGCATATAAAAGATATTCAGAATGGTTAAAGCAGCTAGATATGTCATTAATAAAAATCACAAAGAGAAGGGGACCTAAGACGCTACCCTGAGGTACTCCAGAGGTCGCAGTAAAAGATTGCGACGAGATGTTGTCCATTACGACAACACACTTTCGTGACGAAAGGTAAGACTTTACCCACTTCAGAAAGGTAGAGTGGAAACCCAAACTAGACAATTTGGATATTAGGAGCGAATGACTAACTTTGTCAAAAGCTTTGGTGAAGTCGGTATAGACAGTGTCGACTTGCAAGCGATTGTTAAAAGCAGATAGGCAAAATTCGGAGAAAACGGCTAGATTTGTAACAGTTGATCGACCAGACATAAATCCATGTTGATTAACTGAAATCAGCCGTTTGGTTGCAAAGTACATATTTTGCTTTACAATGAACTCAAATAACTTAGAGACAGTAGACAACTTTGATATGGGTCTGTAGTTGGCGATATTGCTTTTATTACCACTTTTGTGAATGGGCGTGATGAAGGTAACCTTCCAGGCATCAATAAATTCGCCATATTTAAGGGATTTATTGAGCAACAGTAGAAGAGGGTATGCAATAGCCGGGCAGTTTTGGAGAAGACATGGGGACAGACCACCAATATCTGCCTGCTTTGAGGATTTCAAATTTTGGATGCCATCAACCACGTCTTCAAGAGTAATGGAGAGCGCTCCAAAATCAATTGGGGCATTCACATTCAAACAGCTGTCTTCAGTAGAATCTACTTCAGGCTCGTAGTTTGAGCTAAAGAAGTCTGCAAACAGATTTGCAGCCTCTACAGAGGAATTCGCATGTAATCCGTTATAGAAAACTTCCGACGGAATGCTTGAGCAATTTTTTTTTGATTTGACGTACCACCAAAAGGCCTTNTTTTTTGATTTGACGTACCGCCAAAAGGCCGTAGGATTCGATTTAATATCAAGCTCACATTTTTGAACATAATTTCTATGAAGAATATTACTCAGGGACTTAAACTCTCTTGAATAATCCAAATATTTTTCCTTATGTGATAAAGAGTTTGATACTTTAAATTTTTTATAGAACTTATTCCTTAAATTTTTAAGCTTCTTTA